GTCAGATATGACGCGAGCGCACCTAGCTTGTCCCCCTCCCCCTCCCCCTCCCCCTCTCACCCTCCTTTTTCTCCTTTTCCATCATTCGTTTCCATTGTGCATACTTTCTCCCTGCCGCACCTCGAGGTGAGCTTTTAGTGCGGTCCGGGCGTTTCGCCTGGGGCTTCCTCATCATGTATGATTCTGGAGCTTAATAAGTGGCAGCAGCTTCACATATGGAGGGTGGGCCGGTTTCAAAATGTGGCTCTCGCCTTAGCGCCGCGCGCATTCGTTTGAAGGAACTGCAGGAGCTCCACGGATTGAGGGCGGCTGGTTTTCAACATGTGGCTATCGCTTTAGCGCCGCGCACATTCGTTTTTACAGTTTAAAACAGCTTCACGGGTTGAGGGCGGGTCGTTTTCAACATGTGGTTCTCGCCTTAGCGCCGCGCACATTCAACAATTTGCACGGGGTTCACGCATTGAGGGCGGTTCCTTTTCAATATGTGGTTCTCGCTTTAGCGCCGCCTCTTCGTCCTCGTCCTCGTCGTCCTCCTCCTCTTCCTCGTCCTCGTCGTCCTCCTCCTCCCCCTCCTTCTCCTGCTCCTACTCCTCATCATCATCATCTGCCCCGCCTCCTCCTCCTCCTCCTCCTCCTCTTCCGTCTCCTCCTCCTCCTCCTTCTCCTCCTCCCCCTCCCCTTCCCCCTCCCACTCCCCCTCCCCCTCCCCCTCCCCCTCCCTTTCCTCCTTATCTTCCTCCTCTTCCTCCTGCTCCTCCTCATCCTCCTCCTACTCCTGCCCCTTCTCCTTCTGCTCCTCCTCCGCCGCCTTCATCGGCGGCGACATGCGCGCCCTGCCCTCGCCGATCAAAGACTCAGGCATTCGATCGGCGGCTAGGGTGGGGCCAGGAATTCGTCGAAGACGTGGCGAACTCCGACCACGACCCCGCCTCCCATTGATTTGGGGTGAACGGGTGCTCGGCGGGGGGAGGGTCTGGAGGTTGCCACCTGCAAGAGGCGTGGATTCGAGGATCCTTGACATCTTCGACGTCGTGAAAACTCCCAAGACGTGCTTGCGTCGTAACTGTTTTCCCAGTGCGACCCTACCTAGGAGTTGGAGCCCCTAGGAAAGCAGCATCAGCTAAGCTAAAGTAAGCTAAGCTGAGCTGAGCTAATATAGTTAAGCTAAACTAAGTCAAGATGAGATAAGCTAGGCTAAGCTAGGCTCAGCTAGGCCAAGGTAAGATAAGCTAAACTAAGCTAATCTAAATTAGGCTAAGCTAAGCTAAACTAGGCTAAGCGAAGCTAAGCGAAGCGAAGCTAAGCTACGCTAAGCTAAGCTAAGATGGTATACGCAAAGCTAAGCTAAGATACGCTGAGCTAAGCTAAGCTAAGCTAAGCTAAGCCGAGGTAAGGTAAGGTAAGCTAGGCTAGGCTCAGCTAAGTTACGATGAGATAAGCTAAGCAAAGCTAAGCTAGGCTAGGCTAAGCCAAGCTAAGATGAGATACGCAACGTCAATCTGAGCTAAAATAAGCTAAGCGAAGCCAAGCTGAGATAAGCTAGACTAGGCTAAGCTAAGGTAAGCTAATGTACGCTGAGGTAAACTAAGATAAGTTAGGCGAAGCTAAACTAAGCTAAGCTAAGCGAAGCTAAGCTAAGCCACGCTAACATGAAATAAGCAAAGCTAAGCTAAGATAAGCTGAGCTAAGCTCAGCTAAGCTAAGGTAAGCTAAAGGTAAGGTAAGCTAGGCTAGGCTAAGCTAAGCGAAGATGATAGAAACTAAGCTAAACTAAGCTAGGCTACGTTAAGATGAGATATGCTAAGCTAAGCTAAGCTAAGCTTAGCTAAGCTAAGATAAGCAGGGGGCGCAACTGGGGGAACCGCGGGGCGGATCCTGGGGGAACCGCCCGGGGCGTTTTCCACTGCCCGGCCCCTTTAAGACAGAGGGTAAGAACCCTTTTAGGCAGAGCCTAGGTAGGGAAGAAAAGCACGACGAGAGGTTTTCGGTGCGGGTTTTTGCCAGTTTTTGGCCTCTAGGGGCCTCCACCTGGCACAGGGGCCGTCGCACGAACGATTCGCGATAAGATGAGCGGCCTGGGAGACCGGGTCGGGGATTCTGGGGACTCCGCATGGAAAGGTTCGGTCAGTGCATGTCTGGATCACTCGAGCGTGCCGGATCGGAATGTGCCTCGGGCTGTGTCGCCACGGGGTCGAGATCGAGTCGGGTCGGCGGCGCCAGGGCGCACAGCAACGCCCAGGCAGGCATCGGGCCGCATCGGGTCGAGGGCCGATCGCAGGCGCGTCGCGGGCTGGCTCTTGTCCCTGACAGACTCAAGCTGCATCTCTTGTGTTAAACACGACGGCGGGTTGTTGCTGATCTTAGGCCTCCGGGGGCCCTTACCCGGCCCTGGGACCATCGAAAGCGATCCAGCTTGAAAGGCTGGTCCCAGGGAAGGGGTCTAGACATCCCGACTGCAACGGGGGGGGAAAAACGTACCCTTCGATCTTGGCGTCGCATTTGTTTCGCAACGGTCGGTTTCGCCCAGTTTCGTGCGCCGTGGGCCCCACATATTGATCCGACTCGAGGAATGCCGCAGGACGACGGGGTCCAGTGCTCCAGTAGTGATGCCCTGGCTGCTCAAGCTTTGGAGGCAGCTTTGGATCTCAAGGGGCATAGAGGACTTCAGGAAAAAAGGCCACCGCTGGCCCAACTGGTCTACTCGACGTGCATTCCCCCGCCCTTACCTAACACCCCAGAGGACGAGGCCACTTTCGACGCACTCGGCGCGGCTTTCGAGGCCATCGCCAAGAGTAGGCAGCGGATCCACGTGCATTCCCACCCTTTGCCGAACCCTCCAGAGGACGAGGCCACTTTCGACGCGCTCGGCGCGGCGTTCGAGGCCATCGCCAGGGGCAGGCAGCGGATCCGCGTGGACGACTTCGTCGCCCACTTCTCGGGGGCTGCCAGAGGTGTCCCTGGCCCAGCCTGCCCCCAGTGATGGGCCTGCTCTCCACCACCACCCCCAAAAGTTGGATGGGGGGAGGATGAGGAGGAGGAGGATGAGGAGGAGGAGGAGGAGGAGGAGGAGGACGACGAGGAGGAGGAGGAGGAGGACGAGGAGGAGGAGGTTGAGGAGGAGGAGGACCCCTCCCCCTCCAACTTATGGTGATGGTGGTTGTGGAAGACAGGCCCATCATCCAGGCTTCCCGCGGAGGCCCAGGGATGGCCTCCAGAGCACCCCCTCTGCGAGGGCCCGCCCCGAGGGCCGCTGGTGCCCCGAGCGGGCGCAAATTACCTTGTGACGTACCCAACCCATTTATATCAATGGAAACGAGGAGTTGGCCGAAACTTGTATGGACAATCAACTTGATGTGTAAGCTACTTGGGAGGCGTCACTGTGCTGGGCCCCGCAAGCAGGCCTCGAAAGTGGCGACAGTTTCACAGATCGCGGCCCCCCAGGGATGGCGAGGTCACATTTGAAATTGCGTGTGGCGTCACTGCGCTGGGCCCCCCAGCAGGCCTCGAAAGTGGCGACAGTTTCACAGATCGCAGCCCCCCAGGGATGGCGAGGTCTTATTTGAATCTGCGTGTTGGTACCCACTGTGCTGGGCCCCTCAGCAGCCCTCGAAAGTGGCGACAGTTTCACAGATCGCACCCCCCCCCAGGGATGGCGAGGTTCAATTTGAGTCCGCGGTGAGTACCCACTGTGCTGGGCCCCTCAGCAGCCCTCGAAAGTGGCGACAGTTTCACAGATCGCAGCCCCCCCAGGGATGGGGAGGTCTAATTTGAACCTGCTGTGAGTACCCACTGTGCTGGGCCCCTCAGCAGGCCTCGAAAGTGGCGACAGTTTCACACATCGCACCCCCCAGGGATGGCGAGGTCACATTTGAGTCTGCGGTGAGTACCCACTGTGCTGGGCCCCATCAGCAGCCCTCGAAAGTGGCCACGGTTTCACAGATCGCAGCCCCCCAGGGATGGCGAGGTCACATTTGGGTCTGCGGTGAGTACCACTGTGCTGGGCCCCTTCAGCAGCCCTCGAAAATGGCGACAGTTTCACAGATCGCAGCCCCCCAGGGATGGCGAGATCCCATTTGAGTCTGCGGTGGTTACCCACTGTGCTGTGCCCCTCAGCAGCCCTCGAAAGCGGCGACAGTTTCACAGATCGCAGCCCCCCAGGGATGGCGAGGTCCTTTTTGAGTCTGCGGTGAGTAACCCACTGTGTTTGGCCCCTCAGCAGCCCTCGAAAGTGGCGACAGTTTCGCAGATCGCAGCCCCCCCAGGGATGGCGAGGTCCCATTTGAGTCTGCGGTGAGTACCCACTGTGCTGGGCCCCTTCAGCAGGCCTCGAAAGTGGCGACAGTTTCACAGATCGCAGCCCCCCAGGGATGGCGAGGTCCAGTTTGAGACTGCCGTGGGTACCCACTGTGCTGGGCCCCCCAGCAGGCCTCGAACGTGGCGACAGTTTCACACATCGCAACCCCCCAGGGATGGCGAGGTCCCGTTTGAGTCTGCGGTGAGTACCCACTGTGCTGGGCCCCCCAGCAGGCCTCGAAAGTGGCGACAGTTTCACAGATCGCAGCCCCCCAGCTGGCACGCAGCGACGAGCGAGGCGAAAGGCAAGGGGGAAGAGAGGGGCGGGAAGGAAGGAAGGAAGAAAGGAGACGCGCGAGCAGTGCTCTATTCAAAACGAGAACCCAACGCAAGAGGGTTGGGAATTACCGTGTGACGTACCCAACCCATTTGTATCAATGGAAACGAGGAGTTGGCCGAAACTTGTATGGACAATCAATTTGATGTGTAAGCTACGTGAGAGGCGTCACTGTGCTGGGCCCCGCAAGCAGGCCTCGAAAGTGGCGACAATTTCACAGATCGCAGCTACCCAGGGATGGCGAGGTCTAATTTGAATCTGCGTGTGGCGTCACTGTGCTGGGCCCCCCAGCAGGCCTCGAAAGTGGCGACAGTTTCACAGATCGCAGCCCCCCAGGGATGGCGAGGTCCAATTTGAATCTGCGTGTGGGTACCCACTGTGCTGGGCCCCTTCAGCAGCCCTCGAAAGTGGCGACAGTTTCACAGATCGCAGCCCCCCCCAGGGATGGCGAGGTCACATTTGAGTCTGCGGTGGGTACCCACTGCGCTGGGCCCCCCCAGCAGATCGCAGCCCCCCAGGGATGGCGGGGTCAAATTTGAGTCCGCGGTGAGTGCCCACTGTGCTGGCCCCCCCCCAGCAGGCCTCGAAAGTGGCGACAGCTTGACAGAACGCAGCCCCCCAGGGATGGCGAGGTCCAATTTGAGTCTGCGGTCTGTGCTGGGCCCTTCAGCAGGCTTCGAAAGTGGCGACAGTTTCACAGATCGCAGCCCCCCAGGGATGGCGAGGTTCCATTTGCGTCTGCGGTGGGTACCCACTGTGCTGGGCCCCATCAGCAGCCCTCGAAAGTGGCGACAGTTTCACAGATCGCAGCCCCCCAGGGATGGCGAGGTCACATTTGAATCTGCGTGTGGGTACCCACTGTGCTGGGCCCCATTCAGCAGGCCTCGAAAGTGGCGATAGTTTCACAGATCGCAGCCCCCCCCAGGGACGGCGAGGTCTACTTTGAGTCTGCGTGTGGGTACCCACTGCGCTGGGCCCCTTCAGCAGGCCTCGAAAGTTGCGACATTTTCACAGATCGCAGCCCCCCCCCAGGGATGGCGAGGTCCCATTTGAGTCTGCCGTGAGTATCCACTGCGCTGGCCCCCCCCAGCAGGCCTCGAAAGTGGCGACAGTTTCACAGAACGCAGCCCCCCAGGGACGGCGAGGTCCCATTTGAGTCTGCCGTGAGTACCCACTGCGCTGGGCCCCTCAGCAGGCTTCGAAAGTTGCGACAGTTTCACAGATCGCAGCCCCCCAGGGATGGCGAGGTACCATTTAAGTCTGCCGTGGGTACCCACTGTGCTGGGCCCCCCAGCAGGCCTCGAAAGTGGCGACAGTTTCACAGATCGCAGCCCCCCAGGGATGGCGAGGTCCCATTTGAGTCTGCCGTGAGTACCCACTGTGCTGGGCCCCCCAGCAGGCTCGAAAGTGGCGACAGTTTCGCAGATCGCAGCCCCCCAGGGGTGGCGAGGTCCCATTTGAGTCTGCCGTGAGTATCCACTGCGCTGGGCCCCCCAGCGGGCCTCGAAAGCGGCGACAGTTTCGCAGATCGCAGCCCCCCAGGGATGGCGAGGTCCCATTTGAGTTTGCGGTGAGTACCCACTGTGCTGGGCCCCCCATCAGGCTTCGAAAGTGGCCACGGTTTCACAGATCGCAGCCCCCAGGGATGGCGAGGTCCCATTTGAGTCTGCCGTGAGTACCCACTGTGCTGGGCCCCCCAGCAGGCTTCGAAAATGGCGACCGTCTCGCAGATCGCAGCCCCCCAGGGATGGCGAGGCCCCATTTGAGTATGCCGTGAGTACCCATTGTGCTGGGCCCCCCAGCAGGCCTCGAAAGTAACGACCCTTTCACAGATCGCAGCCCCCCAGGGATGGCGAGGTCCCGTTCGAGTCTGCCGTGAGTACCCACTGTGCTGGGCCCCCCAGCAGGCCCCGAAAGTGGCGACAGTTTCACAGATCGCAGCCCCCCAGCTGGCACGCAGCGACGAGCGAGGCGAAAGGCAAGGGGGAAGAGAGGGGCGGGAGGGGGCGGGAAGGAAGGGAGGAAGGAAGTATGGAAGGCGACGCGCGAACAGCGCTCTATTCAAAACGAGAACCCAACGCAGGAGGGTTGGGGAGAAAATTGGGGACACGTCTTTGCCCCGAGGCCCCCGACGTCACAGTTTGTTCCTGACGTGGACCCCTGGGGGGTTCGACCCAGTCCCCAGGGCCGTTTTTTTGTCGCCAAAAGAAGGTTTAACGGCCCCTGGGCCCGGCGAGAGCCCCCATCCAGAAATTCAGCTGTTTTCTGTAAGCGCTAGTTGTTTGCTGTAAACGCTCGGGTTTCTCGGCTCCCAGAGAGGTGCGGGCCCCTCTCTCTTCTGCTCATGCTTTTGCTCAGTTGGTTTGTGTTTTCTCTCTCTCTCTCTCTTTCTTTATTTTGGTTTGCTGTTGCTGTTCTTGTTTTGCTTCTCTCTCTCTCTCCCTCTCTCTCTCTCTCTCTCTCTCCCTCTTACTCCGCTGGGAGCTCAAGCCTCTCTGGGTCAAGCTGGCCCACCCTCTCTGGGGCCCACGAGGGCCCGCTCCGCCCTGTGCTCGACAGGCTTTCGCCGTCGCGTCCGCAGTGGCGCGGCGGCGGCGGAGGCCCGCTCCGCGCGGCGGGGGGATGAGCGCATCTCATGGCAAACCGTCGTTGCCGTCGTCACGAGGAGGAGGAGGCGGAGGCGGAGGCGGCGGCGGCGGCGGAGGAGGAGGAGGAGGAGGAGGAGGAGGAGGAGGAGGAGGAGGAGGGAAGAAGGAGGAGGAGGAGGGGGAGGAGGAGGAGGAGGAGGAGGAGGAGGAGGAGGAGGAGGAGAGGGAGGAGATGAGGAGGAGGCGGAGGAGGAGGAGGAGGAGGAGGAGAAAGAGCGGAGGAGGAGGAGAGAGGAAGAGAGGAAGAGAGGAAGAGAGGAAGAGAGGAAGAGAGGAAGAGAGGAAGAGAGGAAGAGAGGAAGAGAGGAAGAGAGGAGGAGGAGGAGGAGGAGGAGGAGGAGGAGGAGGAGGAGGAGGAGGAGGACCTGACTGCTGCCACCTCCCCGTTCAGGCTCGAGGTCATTTCGTCAGGGCTTCCTGCGGGCAGAGGGCTTGCCGAAAAGCCCGTCGTGCCTGTCCACGGCCCGAGGAGGTCTGGGGCCAGGGACGCGTTCAGCGACGCCCGACCTTCTGGGGGGCCCGACAGCGGAAGGGGCCCGACGGCGTGGACGAGGTCCGCCGGGCCTTCGACCTTGCGGACTCGGACGGGGACGGCACGGTCTCGAGGCTGGAGCTGCTGGGGGCGGTGAAGCGGCATCCGCAGGTAGCGGCGCTGGCACTGACGGGAGGAAGCATGTGCTGATGTTTCTGTTTATCTCCGGGAATCCTCTTCAGCACGGCTGGATTCTCCTCAAGATTTTGGGCAGAGCGCACCTCCGGAAAGGTCCGTGGAGAAGTGGTATCAGTATCTGTTGGTTTCCCCAGGCGTTGCCAGGGTTCGACGCCAGCCGAGTCATGAGCGACCAGGATTGGAGCCGGTTGGGGATTTGAAGCGGGCCATCACTGGTTCTGGCCAGCTGAACGGGGGGACAGAGGGCCCCATCGTCGCCCATGTTGGGGGTGTCTGCGGACCCGTTTTGAGCGGATGATCCCATGATTCCCCATCTTGACCGAGCTTCCCGGGGCCCGTTTGGCGCAGACCCCCTTCTGCCGTTTTCAACCAGGATGCCTTCGACGCCGTCCACCGCGTTTTCGACGCGGTCGCGGCGGGCAAGCGCCGCATCGGTTTCGCAGATTTTCAGAGTTACTTCGGCGGGACCCGCGCGGGGCAGGTGGCGCTGGAGTGCGGCGGGGTGGGAGGCTGCAGGCATCGGGGCGACACCCGCGTGTTTTTGCTCGACCCCACTGGCCTCCACAGGTTCTCTGTCGCGCAGGCGGGCTTCTCCGTGCACTGGTGCGCGGGCCCGCCAAGCCCTCATTCGTGGGCCGCTCCCGCAGTTCAGCAGCTCCATGCTATCGGGGCCGAGATAGACAGCGTCCAGCCCCACGTGCTCGCGTGCGCGTCCCAGGCCTCCGACTGCGTCTACGCTCTGTGGCAGGCGGGCCTGTGGCGAGGCCCCACCGTGCTCATCAATCCACGGACGGTCTGCCGGCAGCTCCCCGCCGATGTTCCCGTGGTCTTGATCCACGGCGGCAGTGACGCCAAGAGCGGCGTGCCGCGCCCGGAGTTGGAGCGGCTTGTCGCTGCGAGCTCTGGCGGGGCTCGGGGGGGCTTCCTGTTCCTGGTGGACCCGTCGACCTTCTGCGGCAGCGCCCTGCTGAAGAGCGATTGCCTGCCGCGGCTGCTGGAGGGAGCTGCGAGCCCCGACGGGCCCGAGGCGCACATTCTCCGCACCGTCCGCGAGCGCAAGTCCGCGGAGCGCTGGGGCGCGGAGCTGTGGCTCGGTCACCGGATCGAGGATGATGGGCCCCAAGTTCCACCACCACTACCATAAGTAGGAGAGGGAGGAGGAGGAGGAGGAGGAAGAGGAGGAAGAGGAGGAAGAGGGGGAGGAGGAGGCGGAGGAGGAGGAGGAGGAGGAGGAGGAGGAAGAGGAGGAGGAGGAGGAGGAGGAGAACGATGAGGAGGAGGAGGAGGAGGAGGAGAGGAGGAGGAGGAGGAGGAGGAGGAGGAGAGAGGAGGAGGAGGAGGAGGAGGAGGAGGAGGAGGGGGGAGGAGGGAGGGGGGAGGGAGGAGGGAGGAGGGGAGGAGGGAGGGAGGGAGGGAGGGAGGGGGAGGGAGGGAGGGAGGGAGGGAGGGAGGGAGGGAGGGAGGGAGGGAGGGAGGGTGGGAGGGAGGGGAGGGAGGGAGGGAGGAGGGAGGGAGGGAGGGAGGGAGGAGGAGGAGGAGAGAGCGGGAGGAGGAGGAGGAGGAGGAGGAAAAGGAGGAGGAGGACCTTCTCATCCTCACTTCTCCCCTCTTTTTTACATATGGTAGCGATGGCGGAAGATTTGCCAAGCAGAGGACCTCAGGCGGCGCTGGGCTTCCCCTGGGCAGCGCGGCAGGGACGCCCGCACGCTCTTCGAGGTGCCCAGGGGCAGCGAGGAGCGGGCTGTGCCAAGGGGGCGGGTCTCTACCGCATCCGGGGGGTCGGGGGCCGAGGAGGAGGAGGAGGAGGAGGGGGAGGCAAGGCCGCTCTCGAAGTCCTGGGGTCAGGGGAGAGCCGGTCCCGCCAGGAGTTTTCCATCGAGATCTGGCGCGATCTTGGGAGCTGCTCGTCGCCAGCTGTCCTGGGGACGAGGCTATGGAGGAGGCAGGATCGAGAATCGGGGAGGTCCTGGACGCTTCAGGGGTCAGGAAGGGAAAAAGCACACAGACACAATTAACGAATCGTCGACTCCCAGGGCAATATGGGAAAATATGGGAAGTGGGGAGGGAGACGAAAACCCAGAACATATGGGAAGATGTGGGGAATGCTGGTATCTGTCTCTATTTATTTGTGTGTCCCAGGGCTTGTGCGTCTTTGGGGTAGTCCTGGGGGCGTCTGAGGAGGTCCAGGGGCAACCGTTGCCTGGAGGAGGGAGCGACCGACAGTGGGACGAAATACAGCTGCGTTGGAACGAATTCCTCCTCCTCCTCCAGCCATTTCCAGCCGAGCCCAACCAGTCAGGTACCACTCCCAACCGCCCTGGAGTCAGCTCTCCTGGATTCCAGAGAGAGTCCTACAGGATCCTCTCGCGGAGTGGCCCTTCCAGTGGGAGCGTCTCGTGCCCTCGGGGGCAAGGGGGAGGAGGAGGAGGAGGAGGAGGAGGAGGCGGAGGAGGAGGAGGAGGAGGGCGAGCAGAATGGCCAGAGGTCTCTTGGATATCTCTCAGAGTCTCTCGGGATGTCTCTTGCGAGTTTCTTGGGGTCCCATTGGGGCGTCTTGGGGGCCTCCCGGCTGTCCAAGGGGCCTCGTGCACCTTGGGTACTTCGTGGGAGCCTCTTCGGGGGTCTCTTGGGAGCCTCTCGGGGACCTCGTGGGACCTCTTGAGGCCTCCTGGGCGCCTGTCGGGGCCCTCTTGGGGCCGTCTTCGGGCACCCTTGGAAGCCTTTGGGGGCCATCTTTGGGCCATCTTGGAGGATCGATGCGAGAAGGAGGGGTGGTCAATTAGAGCCTCCCCTCAGAGGCCCAAACGTATCCCAAACCATAGAAGCATCAAGGATGTTTGCTTTCTCGCCGAGGCCGTCTTGGACGCTTTAATGGGTCGCGCCCCCCCCTCCAGACCCAGGTGCAGGGGGTAGGAGGGGGCGGGGTAAAACCTTCCCCGAAGGGGAAGAAGGAGGGTTGGACGAGGCAACCTGCTAAACCACTCAAGCGTTGACGGGCTTGTGGGATTTTCGCTTGCTGTGCAACTTGGTCACACGAAACCTTGTTCTGTGATCCATCATACAGCTCAAGTTGTTTGATATGTATACGGTGGAGGCGTTTATTAAGGAATAGTCCCAGGAGACGCCATACCCTCGAGGATTCCTTATCCAATGAGGGTGGCGGTGGTATCGATGGCCGATCCACGATAGGAGTTCCACTGGCTTCCAGGCCGTGGATTCCTTATCTAAGAGCTCCGTATCCAATGTTCACATCGTATATTGAGCTTCTCACTTGGAGCTGCCCCGTTCTCTCAGGAATATCCACATAACTCAGTCTTGAGTCATCGACCGCTCGTAGATGGAACTCCCACATCTTTCACAAGGAACATGTTCAATGCTCCAATGACAAACACGTAACGCGAAGCATTACGCAACCGCAGTGCGAAAGCTGCTCAGTTCTCATGCGGAAGCCGTAAAGCTTCAGTAAGATTGGCGATCGCTGCCAATTTCCCCAACAGAACAGCTCCCAGATGGAAGGCAGTAAACCAGTACCATTTCGAACTCTGGCACTCATGCTGTCTTCCAGAATAAATCTGCAGTCGAGCTGCACATTCTATTTCAGAATCGTCTTCAAGCGCTCTACACATATAGTGCCACTGTACGGCTCAAGATGGATGGTGGTAATTGGTACCAGTTGGTTTTCTCTGCTGGTTGAGAAGTGGCTTCGTCGGTTGGAATTGGCACCAGCCTGTTAGGATTGGTCAGACAAGCGGTGGCGATCCCCCTCGAGTGCTGCTGCCGCCGCCGCCGTCGTCGTCGTCGCCGTCGTCGTCTTCGCCGTGTTACCGTCGTTGTCGGCGTCTCGGCATTTGCCGATAGGAGTTCCGCATGGTGGCCCAGGTGTTCAAGGCCGAGCCGGCAGAGGCCAGCGCCTACAACGTGGGCCGCCAGGGCTTCGCGAGCACCACGGTCCTCGCCGTGCACCGCGTGGAGAACGGCCTCCAGGCGGACGGGTGCTCGAGGCCGTACACGGACGCGCTGAGCAGGTCTCAGAGGAGGGAAAAGGTGCGGATACCGTTGCTTTAGCTGCCCTGGCACGCCCTTTACAAGACGCAACACGTCCTGTGCTCAAGATGTCCGTGTTGACACGTTGCGTGTTGGCTCGGCATGTGGTGGTCCACTGTTTGACGAAGTTATCGCGCCAGACCTGGAGCGTCGTGTCAACACGCTACGTGATGCGTGTTGCGTATCGGGGCAGCTTGACTTCCTGCGTTGTCGCCTCTTGTGGGCTCGTTGGAGTCCCTCGTCGCCACGGCACGCCTCGCAATTCTGGCCAGAACGCTCCCTGGAGGAGGGCCGTGGAGCAGCGGCATCGGTGCAATGTTCCCCCCCGTTTCGGATTGCGAGTCCGGGGGCGACGGTCCGTCGGCAGCCTGCGAGGCCTCGAGGAGGCCCGCCGCGGGTGCCGATCTCGCTCCCAGTCAGCGCTTGCACTCGGGAGTTCTTACTTTTGGTCTTCTGGGCCGGTGCGTCGCCACGGCCGCCTTGTCCTCGGCCAGTCGCCGCCCCGGCGCCGCTCGTCACCGCCCGTCGCCGTCCTGTCCGGGCCGGGGCGTCGCCCGTCGCCGCCGCTTCATCGCCGCACCACCGCGTTGTTCACTCCACATCATCAGCTTGCCTCTTTCTTTTTTTTGGGGGTTTGCCTTTTTTTGTGTGTGGTTAAAGCAGAGTATAGGAGTCTGCCCCCCTGGAATGAGTGGTTCACCTCTTCGCATTGCACTTGACATGTGATTCGACCCATCGTCCATCCGAAAAATGAACTCATACCAGCCCAGTCAGGTTGGCATCCCCCCCCCCTTTATCCACTGCAGCAGAAATACTATTCGTGCGCACTCGTTCATCAATCACCTCAACTTTTCGAGAGCCCAGCGCAAATCATTAGACGCAATGCGCACGCGCGCGCATGCCGAAATCCGTCAACAATTTTAGATTTCGCAAGGATTTCAAAGCCGTGTGTCCTGGAAACATAAAAAACATGGTTTCGCAACCAGAATGTTCAAATGAAGCTTGCTCTCGGGCTCTTGCGAATTCTTACGACAACCTCTTTGATCTGTCAACATTCTCACGATTTGCTACCCAACGGGCCTCTCGCGCGCGCATGTCGGAATCGCTCGAACGCCCTTGCGCGCGTGTTGTCGCAATAACCCCTTGCAAGATGGGACGAAATGCGCGCGCGCGTCCTCGCGCGCGCGTGCCGAAATCCTTCAACAACAGTCGGTGTTGCAGGGATTTGAAAACCGAGTGCATCGAACTTGTATAGAAGCATTGGGCTATGCAACGTGAATTCAGAAATGCCTGCGCTCGCGCTCATGCAGATTCTTAAGAAAATCATCGAGGTTGCAACCTGATGACCCGGCTAAACAGGCCCCTGCGCCGCACGTCGAAGTCCTTCGAACGCCCTTGCGCGCGGCGTGTTGGGAGGGGCACGATCCTTGTCAAATGGGACCATGCGGGAAGACGGAATCTTTCAACAATTTGAAACGAGTGAATCGAACAATTCAAAAAGACAATGGCACAACTAACAACAACACACAGGGACTCGCAGCACCAGTTTTCAACAGAAGCCTGCGCGCTCTCTTGCGAATCCTTAAAGAAAGCACCGGGCTTCCAACATAGCCATCAATTCTGCCAAACAGGCCTCGCGCGCCGCATGTCGAGCTCATCCGAACGCCCTTTCTCTCATGTGTGGGAGGGGACGACCCGTGTCAAATAATACCACGCGGGCCACTCGCGCGCGTCGGCCCCGCGCGCGCATGTCGAACTCCTTCAAAATCTTAATCACTGCCGCGGGGACATCGTCATCATGATCGGCTTGCGTGATCAACATCGGCGCTGGCATTGGCTTTGCCGTCGTCGTCGCCACCATCGTCACCATCATCGCTGGTGTCATCATCGTGTTCACCGTTGTCGAGTTCGCCACGATACCGCGCCCGCCCAAGTCACTGATTTGCATTGAACTGCCCGTTGGGAAGTGCCCAGTGGTCAGCGCCACCGCGGCCGCGTCGGTCGCGCCGCAGTAGATGGCCGCTGCGCGCGCGAGCGTACGCGGTATAGCGCGGCCACAGAGGCGCAGCAGCCAACGCCAAGCTCTCATCCCAATCGCCGTTGCATGGGCTTTTGCAATCCAAGTGGCGGGTGGGTGGGTGGGAAGGTTGCGCGAGCAGCGCAGTCGACAGCTCATTGCGAGCACCGGTGAACCGCACCGTGTATATATATATATACACACACTAAAACAAGAAACGATCATATATTCTACCCGCCCCCCCCCCATCCCCCGCGTTTATCGGTACCCTTGTCGTATAGCAGTCTAAATATGATGTTTCTGCTTCGTCCATCCGAAATCTGAGTTTATACCATCGCAGGCAGGTTGGTATTGTCTCCCCCCCGCCATCCTTTTGCAACATATGTTATGCGCGCACTGCTTTATCAAGAATCATCAGTTTCCAAGAACCCCCTTTGCAAAACATTAGACTAAGTGCACACGCGCCCGTTGTCGCGCGCGCAGGCCGAATTCCTTCAAGAACCATCGATTTCGCAGGGATTGTCAAAGTCGAATTCCCCAAACTCTTAAACCACAGGGTTTCGCAACACGGTTTTTTCAAAAACAAACTTGCGCGCTGTTTTTTTCGTGAGTTCTTGCGGAAATACAATGTGTTTCAACATTTTCATATAATACCACCAAGCGGGCTTCGCGCGCGCATGTCGAAATCGTGCGATTGCCCTTGCGCGCGCGCTGAGGTGGCACGATCCACGTCCAATAATACAATGCGGGCCACTTTCGCGCGTCTGCCGCGCGCGCATTTCGAATCCATCCAAAACCTTCATCACCGACGCGAAGGCGCCGTCATCGTCGCCGGCGTGATCAGCATCGGCACCGTCATTGGCTGCCCCGTCGTCGCTGTCAGCATCGTCGCCAGCATCGCTACCATCATAATCGTTTCTACCGTTGTCGACGTTGCCATGATACCGCGCCCGCCCAAGTCGCCGACTCGCACTGAAGTGCCCACTTGGATGTGTCGAGCGGTCAGCGCCACCGCGTTCGCGTCGCGCCAAAGTAGCTGGCCGCTGCGCGCGCGAGCATGCGTTAGCTAGCGCGGTCGCAGAGATGCACCAGCCAACACCAAACACTCATCGCAATCGATTCCGCATGTGTTTTGTGGACCGAGTTGCGGGTGGGTGGGTAGGACGATTGCGCGAACAGTGGAGTTGTCATTTTCAAGTTCGGCAAGTGAACATTGACCATATATATATATATTGCACGACGTAGCTGGCACGACATAGATTGTTCCACATAGCTCACACCACATAAATTTCAATTCGCATAGGTTTCATCCGATTAATTGCACCACCTTGGATGCTAGAACATCTTATTTGGGGCCAATGTGGTCAATACCTTCACGCGCACACATGGCCTGCCGCCGGCGCCGAATTTCGTCGAAACTATGTGGGTTGGTCGCGGGCGGGTCGCGGGCGGGTCGTCCGTGGTTCGCGGGTAGGTTTCGAGCGGGTCGCGGGTGGGTCGCGTGCGGATCGCGGGCGAAGATTGCGACAACAGACAACAAACAACACATACAATCTTCACCGCAGAGGCCCATGCCAGGCACGCGCCTAGGGATGGGGGATGATGTCAGGCCGTTGGGCCCTGCAGTCTGATTTTTTGCGTTCCCGAGGTCCTTGGAAGATCAGGGCGTGAGCTTCGAGCCGGGGGTGCACACTTGCTGGGCCTTCCACGGGACCCGCGACATCGATTCGATCGTCGGCAACCCGATGGCGGGTTTCCAGCCGCTCGCCGCGGGATTGGGCAGCCGGGCCCTTTGGGGTTCTGGGACCTATTTCGCCCGGGACGCGAAGTACGTTGCGGACGGCGGCTTCGACCTCACGGGAGGACGGACAGCCGACGGCAGCCGGAGGATTTGGAGGGGGCAGAAGTACGGGTACCACCATTTTTCCTTGTCCAGGCAGAACATTAAACCATAACCGCAACTAAACAGTTTTTTGTTAGGGCCCCGCGATGGAGAACCCATCGACCTCGATATGAGCACTTTGGTGGCTGTGGTTGAGGTCGGCTTGGTCGTCCTGAGACGCCACATCGATCAAAGCCAGTGCCCAGTTGGCCCCGGTGCGCGGACGACTGTGGACATGAGCAGGACATCCCCCAGGGTGTGCCCTCGAGGTGGTTGTGTTGTGGTTGCGTGCTGCCCCCGCAGACGAGGCACCGATATCCCCATACCCTCCCTTCGGTTGCGCATTTTTTGGGGGGGTCCTTCTGGGAGGGCCTCGTCGCCACAGCTGGGTTCGCCTTGACATGCTGGCCGGGATGCACCAAGGGCTTTGATGTTCCAACCTACTTTGGCCTTGATCACCAGAAAGAATTTCGAGCACCAAGAAAGGGTTCTCACGTCGGGCCCCGAGAGGCGATATTCGTTTGACACTGTTTCGATACTCTTCTGGGTGCTCGAAATTATTTTTGGGATGTGGTCCTTAAGTGCGACTGGAACATGAACCCAGGGAAAAGGTCCCTGGAGTAGCGGTGTCGGTACTGCTTGGGATCCCCCGAGGATGCTGATGTGCCTGCTGGCGACTGGCATGCCGTGCCTCGGGGACCCAGGGCACAAGGGCGTCCTGCCCTTCCGGAGGCCGCCGCACCGGTTCCACTCCGCGGTGGACTCGGTGGCGAATCCGGAGATCTACGTGGTGCAGCACCCTGGTGCAGCGCACCCCGCGTATGTGATAACTTTCGCTGCTGCATGAACATTCTAGGCCTCCCAGATGGGGTCGGGGTAGATAGGGTCGGAGGATCGCGCCGCGTCGCCGATGCATCGCCGATGCGGCTCGGTGTGGAGCTCGATTTTCCCCACGCCGACGTCGCCGATGCATCGCCGACGTCGACGATGCATCGCCAGTGCATCGACGATGCATCGGCGATGCATCGCCGATGCATCGCCGATGTATCGGCGATGCGGCGCGATCCTCCGAACCCATCTACTCGGACCCCATCTAGGAGGTCTCTAAACATGCCTCCCTGAATCCACGTGTTGTAGCATTCCGGAGCAGCGCTCCTCGCGTGCGCAAGAGCCTTCGCCGCGACATGGACGTGTTGCGTGAGGGCGGAGTTCGGGTTGCCCTGAAGAGCTCTTGCGCGCATGTGTAGCGAGCGGAGGGTTTGAACGATCCATTCAGTCCCGCGTCCTTGATGTTGTGAGAGGAGGCGTTACTACCATTGTCGGCGTCGCACGTTTTCGAAGGGCGCCATCGAATTCACGGGGCGAGGTTCGAGCCATCACCGTCCGTCGCCTGTCTCGGAGGCAGACGCTGCCGCTTGGAAGACACGTAAGGTGTGGCCCTCGCGCTGGAAGCTCCGCGCAGGGACCCGAGCGCACAGCTTATCACAGCAGCTACGCAGAGGGGGAGCGCATCCATACCTTGATGCGCTGTTGCCGCTCGCTCGCCTCAAATAGCAGGCAAGCACATTTCGTATATCATCTCCGGACCGCTGCGTAACACCAGTGGCAACACGCTGAGACGTCTGGTCCCCTACATGACTCGAGCGCGTGAACAGTGGCATGCCACCCCGTCTCACGATTTGGGCCCTCTCCAGGTGCTCCTGCGCGCGGGTGGCGTACACGACAAAAGGGCCTTCTACTCTTCTGGCAGTCCCAATGCAGCTTTTGTCCTCATGCTCGGTCGGGAGGAGGAGGAGAGGAGGAGGCGGAGGAGGACCAGCACGCATCCTGAAAGGGGGTTCCGCCGTCTTGGCTGCAATCGCGCGGCGGCGCGGAGGCGCGGGGCGCGCCTGGGAGATCTGGTTGGCGAGATCGGGCCTCGCGCGGGGGGGTCACTCTCCCTCCCGCGCACGCTCCCCGCTCCAGCACTACCTGCCCTCCTCCCTCTCCTGCTCTTGCTGCTCCTGGACTAAATCTGCCAGGAGCTGGGCCAGGGGGATGAAGGGGCGAAGCTGCACCCGGGGCTTCTTGGGGTGCCTTCCTTGACAAATCTCATTCCATACATACTTGGATCCCCGCTTCTGGGCGTCCGAAAAGCGCCTGGGACAAAAGCTGCAAAAAATAACGTGGATTCGAGGCAGCATAAGCTCCACAAGTCTGACAAGCAATGATGAAGCTCTCGCCTGTCTCAAAATCGGCCACCACCAGCGTGTGGCCGTGACTGTCAGCAGCGAGGGTCTTTAGAGGGGAATTGCCAGTGCACTTCTCGTTGAGCCTGGCTTCTTTCTTCGCCTCAGAAAGCGCCCTCGTCTTGCACAGCTTGCAAACCCGTCCCCCCGGGCTCCAAGTCCAATCATGCACCGCGCGACCCCCTGGCACGACAGGGGGGCGGGGAGGGGGGGCACAAGATTGGAACCTGGGGCGGACGCAGCCCCAACAGGGGGATTTTTCGATTTGCTAGGTTAGGCCAATGCTTTGCCCCCAGGCTTGGAAGCAACAGGAGACCACTTTGGCAAGACCTTACAAGCATAGTATAGAAATCGCTGCAACAGCTTGGAACGCGATTATGTCTGTTGACTGTCGGCAGTGGAGGATTGCAACAGCTCGTTGGCCGCCCACTTCGCCCACCGATCGGCCTCGGTGTTTCCCGAAGCATGCCGCCATTCCTCTGTGTGGGGCTCTAAATCGGAGAGCTTTTGATGCGAATTGACTCTGATCAGGTCGATGTCCCGACTCCAGCCGGCGCAACCTTTAATGAGCAATTTGAGTCCATAATAAAATCCTTTAGGGGACAGACGTGGGGCGTGCAGCAAGCATGTGCCAGTGTAGTCGGCGATCCAGGCCGAGATGCTACTTCCGAATTTGACCGCGGCGTATGCAGCTAAGAATTCTGCCGCGGGTGAGGTCTGAGGCAAAGCTCTAGTCCGCATTCTTGAGAGCATCGATATCTTCAAAGCTGACATGCTCAGCTCGCTCGGCCGCCCAAAGGACGCATTCGAACAGTCTGTGATACATGCTGTCATGCTCGTGCCCGCACGGGCACTTGCAGTCCACCTCATAACCCGCCTCTCGAAGACCAAACTTGGTCCATATACTCCAGGAGAGGAAGGCGAGGAGGATGGAACGCTCCCGAGGGGTACGAGAAGGGGAGTTGAGGACGCTGAGGACAGCAGAAACGCAGACCTGATGCCCCACCCACCCCAGTCGCTCGCTCGCTTGCTCCAACAGCCTGTCCCGCCATGACCTCTGCAGCGCGGCGGAGAGGAAGGCGGGCGAGACCGAGGTGAGGGGGAAGAGTGAGCCATCCCTGTCCGAAAACTCGAACGCACTGACGGCCTTCCAACCAAGTCTGCTGAGTGAGAGAGGGCATGCTCCGAAGGGGCCCCTGGAGTCCAACCACCTCTGGGGGGGAGCAGCCAAAACGGGGGCAACTAAATCCCTAAGTTCGGGCAGGGTGATTCCTCCGTCTCGCGCAGTGGCAGCTCTCCACACGATCTTGGCACAGGTTAAACACGGCCCATCTCCCACCCTCCAAGTGGGATCGTAGAGGAGGAGGCTGAGGGAGCGAGACCTAATGGAGCATCGAAGGCCCACGGCCTTCAGAAACGTGGGTTGGATGTCCCTCACTCCGTTGTCATCAGCTCTCAAAACCTCCGTGCCGTAGTGCCCTGCCTGCTGGAGTCCTCCTGCATACAGTTTGCTGATGTTGGCTCCCCCTGCTCTGAGCGACGCGAGTCGACCTAGTCTCTTGCGAAGGTTGTTGTGCCGTTCCATGGCCTTGGGCCAGTGCTCTCACATGTTGCGCTTCCGGCCAACAAAATAATCGATGCCAAGATTTGGGGCAGAATCTCCCGGCTGGCCTCCCTGGGGCCCCAAGGCTTTAGCTAACTTCTGCTTCAGCGTGTCCTACGACGCAAGGGCGACAGACTTGTGGTCGGCGATGCTGCATTGCAACTTGTCGACAATCAGATCCCCTAAATCTTGGGCGGCGTCCGTCTTAGCATGCAAGACCGTGAACATGGATTGGCTCTGGCATTGCTGAAGGAAATCGTTGATAAAGACGCTTAGCTGGACGTCTCTATGCCTGGACTGCCAAGCCGAAAGGTCGTCGACACAATAAACTTGGATGAGAAACGTAGCAAAACTGTCCCCAGCAGGCAGTCCCCTTGTAGCATACCCTGCGTGAGCGACAAGCGTAGCATACGAGACCAGGCGCTGGGACTTGCGCTGGTTGAATCACTGCCAAGATGTGTGTGTTGAAGCTGTGTTTCTTGGCCTTGACAAAAAAGAACATCTGGAGACACGTGCTTGTAGTAGTTAGACAAGTCCCACATGACAGCGCCCGCGTGCAGCACGGGCTCGACGTACTGTCCTTGCTCTGCTTGCAGCTCCTCGAGATAAACTAACTCACAGATTGATCGACTTGATTGGTGACACAAGAAGGGCCGGCGATGGCCCTTTTTCCAATTCTTTGGCCACGTGCTGTCTGGCGCGAGCCCACAGTCTATAGGGGCTGGGGAACATGCCGATTTCTCGGTACTGTGGCTCGTCCCAAACACACTTCTGTTTGGGGATGAGGACAGTCAGGACAGCTCTGAGAGACGAAGGAGATGTACACAGCGATTCAACCAGAGAGGCCACAATCAACAGGCCTTCAATCAACAGGCCTTCGTCACTGATCATTGTGAAATGAACGGGGTGGAAGCCATCCAAAGTTATGCTGGTGCGCTTGGTGAAAGCGCGGGCTGCGATTTTGATATGCTGGGGCGTTAAACTGTCGAGGACTTTATCTTTCGACTCCCCCTCGAACATCGGGCCCTCGTGTGACTGGGACCGCCAGAGCTCCTGCAGCCGACCCGCTTCGGCCTGCAACATGTGACTGGGCCTCCCCGACCACCCCCCTCCGTGTTTGGCGGCCTGCGGCCGCCATGGGCCATGGGGCGGGGGAGCGGGAGCAGGCGTGTGCTTTACCTGCCCCTCTTTGCATCGCCGTGGCAACCCAGTCCCTTCCGTTGCTTGGTGCTGTCCACCATGCTCTGCCTCTCCTCCTTGCTGATGCTATCCTCCAGCTCCTCCAGGAAGTCTGAAAGTATGCGATCAACTAGATCAGGATTCAGGTTGCAGCGTCTGCGCATCGATGCCGACAGCCATGAGGACATTGCGACACGAGTCGAGAAATTGCTGAAGACTACCTGAGCTGCTGAACTGCTGGGGCGGGTCTTGCACCTCCGCCAGGGCCCACTGGACCTCATTTTCGTGAACCCCCGGGCCAGTCCAGGATTGCTCCGAAAACCGTGCGCGAGTATCTTGAATTTTGCCTCGAAGCCAGATCAACGGCTTTGCCAGCGAACCCCAAACCCAGGATTTCTGGTGCTGTTTCTGGACCGTGGTAGCTGGTAGCCATTTGATCCTGGGTGGGAGCCCTCGGAGCGACGGAAGCCTGAGCTGCGTGTCTGTGTCCTGGGCCAAAGACTTCTCCATGTCCCGGACCATGGCCTCATAGGCTGCATCCAAGGCTGCCCGCTTGACCGAAGGACTGTGCGCTGAAGGCGACCTGTCCTCCAAGAAAAAGATCTCCTCCGCCTGCTTCATCGCTGCTGCTGCTTGTGTCCAGGGTAGCTCTGGAAGCCTTGGGGATCTGCTGAGGCTGCTGCAATACTGGAACGAAGTACTGGCCGCTAGTCAACTCCAGCTGCACCACTCGGTGCGGGGTCATAGGGACATCCAGTATTCCAATGATCTGCACTCGCTCGTCCATCGACTCAGAGACAAGGAAATCATCCAAGACAGATCTACTCTTCTTGGCGATGTGAGTGGGCTTCCTAGTGCTATGGACTCTGACCGTGTCGCGGGTCGTAAAGTCGGACTGAAGCAACGTAGTGGGAGTGATATTGTCATCTCCCCTAACCAGTAGCGGCATCTGGCGTCGCTGGTTCAGCTCTCCCGCTGCTGCTAGCAGCTGGGCGTTTCGCTGAGGCATCCCCTCGAAGTCGTACAGGTAAATAGACACCACTGCAACCTGACCAAGCCCTAGTGCTTCCAAGGCGATTGCACTCCAGCGATGAGGAC